AAAAAGTTATGGGGATTGAAAGTTGATTATTTTGACAATTTTCATACACTATAATTCAAATAAAATTAAATAAAATGATTATTTTCAAGCGGGTGGAGGTGGGGGATCGAAAGAGGGTGGTCACTTGAACAAAACCCGATAACCTAACTTACCCTATTGATAATGATATTTAAATAATGTTTTTTATAACTTTTCCCAGAAATGTATAAAAATTGGCATATTTATTAACTTTGAACCCCCATAACTTTTTATGGGGGTGAGATCGCCACGAACTTTTTATGGTACAGTGAGAGGGGAGAACTCCCCTTTCGACCGCCCCCACCCCCATCCCCGAAGGTTGGGGGGCATCATCTAGACCTTTACCCATTTCGTTTTAGCGCTCGGGATTTCAAGAGGCTTAATCCGCCATTTCTCAAAAATTACCCATTTGAACATGAATGATTTTGATGCACACCACTGTAATGTATCGTCTGGAATAAATTTTGTCAACTCGAAATCCCCGAGAACGAGAATTCCGTTTAGCTCGTTTACAAGGTCGCAAAAGGGATACGCGACCAAGATATCTTTGCGCCAACATAAATCCCGTTCTATTGTTATTTAAATTCTCGAAACTTCGCGCCCTTTTCTTTACAGTTCTCGAAATATATATTTTTCGAAGTTGATAAAGCTCCACTCTCATTAGCTTTTCCCTAGCACGTAGTTAGTTTACCCCACGACGAGCTTACCCTAAGTTTGTGCCAAAAAATAATAATAAATAGAATAAATATTAAATTTTCAAAATACACAATCTAATACCATTAATAATCATAATCGGCGGAAGATTGTGATTGATTCGGTAGGTCCGAGGTCTACGAGATTACCCCTCTTCCGCGAAAACAAAAAAAAAATAGCAACAATTAGTCAGACGCAGAGCTATTCACAGTACATTTCGCTACCCTAATTATTATTAAATAAAAATTACCCCACAACATACAAAAAATTACTTATCATCATCATCATCAAGGTCGTCAGTCCTAAGACTGGTTGGACACGTATCTCCACTCTTTCCTATCCTGAGCTAAAATTAGAACAGCCTACATCCTTAACTATTTGCGAACAGTAATCTAATCTAGGTCTACCTCTACCCCTCCTAACTCCTGTTTCTGCCTCTAATATGTCTCTGACTAGACCTTCATGCCTGAGAAGGTGTCCTACCAACCTATCTCGCCTATTTTTTATTGACTTCCATAGAGTCCTCTGTTCTCCTATTCCTTCCAATACCTCTTCATTTCTAACCTTTTGTACCCACGTTAACCTCATCATCCGCCTATAACACCACATTTCGAACGCTTCTAACCTTTTCTTTTCCGCCGCGCCCACTATCCATGTTTCGCACCCGTACAACGCCGTACTCCAAACATACACCTTTAACAACCTTTTTCGAATTTCTAAATTAACCGTTCGCGAGCATAGAAGTGACTTCTTAAAGGCGACACAACCCTGCGCTATCCTCTGCTTTATATCCTTACTACTCCTTCCATCCTGACTTATCTGACTTCCTAGGTATCTAAAATCAACCACTTCCTCTAACTTTTCGTCTCCTATCTTTATATTCGCTCTTTCCCTACTTTATCTTCCCTAGCATACCAGTATTTTAGTTTTACTTTAATTTATTTTCATACAGTACTGATCTGTCAGTACCTATCGCTTCTATTTTATTTAAAGCTATCTCTAAGTCCTCCTTGCTAGATGCTAATACTGCTATATCATCTGCAAATCTAAACATACTAATCTTTTGCCCTTGCACATCTATCCCTACAGTTGTGCTGTCTTTAATGATGTTGATTACTACTTCGTTAATTATTCGATACTTACCTAGGCGCATGCTTTTGGTTTTAAAGGATTTTTTAAATATTTTCCTAAACTATTACTTAGAAAAATGCCAAATCTGGTATGAAAAGTATACAGCTTTCATATTTCACCTGCCAGAAAACATTTCCCTAGACGCAAAGGATTTAGCTGATACCGCATGATAACAGAATTTTCGCTGGGACGTGACAAACTTTTTCGCAGCTTTATTTCCACCCTAAGGTCTAATATGCATATTTTTCGTCGGTGAAAACAAGAAAAGCAGTCTTTGTTGTTTACCTTTTCAGTTATGTAGATACCTCGTCCCGATGCTGTTTTATGCCCTGCAGTGTAAAGACGACGCCAGACACGTAGCGTGTCATAAATACTAACAGAATTTATCACTTTCTTTGGATAAAAAAAATGATAGAATGAAGAGAGATCAACACAATAATAATTTTATAGCCGTAAGCAGCACGGGAGGAAATGTACAAAGTGCCAAGCATTACGATAAAAAATAATCAGAACGTGCCGAAAGGCCAAGATGTAAATTATGCAAGTTGAATAATAAACTGGGAATGTGATAGAGTTGCGAGGACATTAAATTTAATATGTACTCTTTAAAATATTTTACGACCTTTACAAGAAAGTTAAAATTAATGTACTTGCTTAAAATTACTATCAATTAAAATATGAAACACATATGTTGGTATGTACTATTACGTTGCTGTATTAGTAGCATATAAACTATAACGTAGTTGTCAATTAACTTCAAAACATACTTGTCTAATACATAAATCCCTCTTTAATAGCTTTAAATTAGTATTAAAACATGTAAATACATAATTTCTACTGATAATGAGGATAATCTTAGCCTCTCATCCACTCTATAGTGCAGATCATGTCAAAGTGACAAATGATGTACCGAAGATAATGCCAAGTTATTTAATTATTTTACTGGTATCAATCTAAGAGTAAGATATTAAGTAAATTGTGTCCCTTAATATATACATAAATCCGTCTTTAATAGCTTTAAATTAGTATTAAAACATGTAGATATATATATTTTACTGGTATCAATCTAAGAGTAAGATATTAAGTAAATTGTGTCCCTTAATATATACATAAATCCCTTTTTAATCGCTTTAAATTAGTATTAAAACATGTAGATATATAATTTCTACTGATTATGATGATAATCTTAGCCTCACATCCACTCTATAGTGCAGATCGTCTCAAAGTGACAAATGATATAGGTACCGAAGATAATGCCAAGTTATTAAAATATTTTACTGGTATCAATCTAAGAGTAAGATATTAAGTAAATTGTGTCCCTTAATATGAATATTGCGCCTTCTTTAATATGTTCTAAAATCTATTTTTTTGTTAAATTAAAGACGTTCAAGTTCAATACAATTCTCTACTTCAAATGTTTTCAATGTCTGGTAGAATTCTCGTTACATTCTGCTTGGTTTACAGAAATTTATCTTGCAGATTCAGTTCCCTGAATTTCCTGCTTTCCCGGGAAAGGCAGCAGCTTCCGGAAAATGTTTACTAGTTACTTACAGATTTCTGTATTTGTAAAAAGCAAACGATATCATTTAATTTCGAATTAAATAAATTACAGAAGTGAATAGATATTCAATTAAAACTCATTTTTAAATATTATTGTAGATACAATTTCAAAAAATATTTGGATACTTTATATTTAAAACAAAAGCCTTAAAATAATGATACGTTCAAAATGAAATTGAAAGCTTCTTGTCTAAAATATTGTGGAAATAAGAGCACATATTTCCATAAAAATGATCTCACATAAAAACAGTTCAATTCAAATCAATATTAGTCAATAATAAAAATAGTGCATTACGCTATAGAATTCACCGGTCACTGCTTTTTGACGAAGTAAAACATTAAACACGATATTATATTCGACTCTTAGACTGTTCTAACAGTAAAAAAGAATTTTGATGAAAAACTTACCACAAAAAGGCACCTAAATATGAAACAGAATGTACAGCAATCGTCAGTTTTTACACCGCATCACTACACTAACTAATTCAACTATTTTTAACATAAATATATTAATGTAAATACTATCAGTAATGCTTTTGTATCACACAATACTAAACTGATTTACTTTGCGTGCTCACAATAAGTAAACCTGATTAATTCGCTGTTATTCGGTATCATTGTCGTTCTTTTTCGGAAACAAATAAGAATAGAAATGCACAGAAATGCTTCGGCAATAAAAGATGTTACATTAGAATGGGTGCCAGGTTATTGCGGAAATAACTGATAAATTTTATTGTGATTACATTGACGTTAGATATCAATTTTTAACATTGCAGATGTCCGCGTTACTTGTCGTTTGATTGATATATAAATATGAAATATGGAATCGGTAAAAAGGATCCACTTAACAAAAACATTGCACACTAAGATGTACGAATCTGATACATAATTTAGCATCTACTTCTATCTCTTTTTGATTACGAAACATTTGTATGGTCATTTTTTTCCATTAAGTACTGTGATGAATCATTTAAAATTATTAAATTTATTTTTTTTTTTTATGTACCTAATTACTATCGGTAATTGGTTTTATCAAAATTTAACACCATATGCTGCAGTAATGAAACCGAAAATTCAAATTTTTAGAGTAACGATTGTCGTCAACTTAGATATTCCTGTTTTTACGTCATTTTTATTCACTTCTGCTGCAAAATGTGCGTCAAATTTAAAAATTCTAGTTGTTTTTACGTGTAAATGAATTAGTTTTATACTTAATTACGTATTAGTTCCAAATTTTTACCTTAACGGGGAACTACAGAAAATATTATCTTGGCACATTTTTGTATGTTGAATAATACCTTTTTTAGTGGTTTGACCACTTTGTCCCACATACATTTTTCAACGCAAAGTTGAATGTGATAATTTCTTTTGGGCAGTTTATTGATTATTGGGTACAAATAATAATTATGAACCTTATAGTAAATAATAAATAATTAACGTTGATAGATTAAAAGGGAAAAGTTTGTGAAATTGGTAATTAAAAGTATAAATAACTGTAAGAAACTGGAACAAGTAGGTATTAAAATCAATAAGTATTTTATTTATATACAGAACTCGCTTTTTATAGGTATTTAAGGTATTTAACAAATAAATAGCTAATTCGATAACGATATATATACATAATATATATATGTATGTGTAGTTACCTTAGGAAATTGTATTTTATATATATATTATGTAAATGTTGTGTAAGTTTGATTGTGCAAAATGGCGTACGATTTACATCATAAAAAGTAGATACATAGGTACAATACTCACATATATTATATACATATAAATAAAATATTGCTCCATAAAACGATGTGTCTTTTTTTAACAGATTAAACATACAAAAAACATTGGTTACTTTATAAATTAATAGCGTTTTCTTATAAATGACTTCGATGCACCAAATGGCTTTTTTAATCTACTTTTACGTTAAGTGTCTATATAATATTTAAAACTGCAAATACAAATTCTATGATTGGATGCTTCATGAACTAATTTTAGGGGAAAACCCATCATCAAGAGTTTAAACGCTATTTCAATTTAGAAATTGAAGGAATTGTGTGTTTTAAAAATAAGAAAAAAGAATAACATCCTTTTCAAAACTGACAACAATCAAAAAAGAACAAATGAAACTAATGACAAATGTGATCCCATACCTTTATATTTTATACGGAAATATTTTTTTTCTTTCAGGAAAAGCACCATTTCGTCCAAAAATTAAAACCGGAAACACCAGACTTCTTTTTAACTTAAGAATAGATGGATTTGGTCTTTATCGAAGCCCGTTTCTTTGAGTAATTTTTCGGTCAGCTGTGTGAAAACAGTTGGTCCACAAACCATGGCAAAAATGTCGTTTTGTTTAAAAGCAGTGCCATCTAAGACGGTTTCTATTGCATGTCCGAGGACTTCGGCAGAGACGTGTCCTTTCAAGCCACTCCATGTGCTTTCTGGATTCGAAAGGACATTCATTAATTTGAACCGTTTTTCTATTTTACTCAACGAATTAAATTCGTCGTGGAATAAGATGTCTTTCTCCGTTTGATTGAAGAATACCAAAAGGACTTTTTGACTGCAAAAAAAGAAAAACAAAACACAGTACACCTGATTCTACTCAAGGTTAAACACACTGTACAATCAATAATTTTTTTGTTAAATAAATAGATGATACCTTTCCTGTCATAGTAAATTATTTAATTTTTGCTTGCATATAAAATAACTTTTTGGTCCATTTCTTAAAGGATTCTCGTAGGACTATTTTGTCCACTGTTCTAATTTATTTTTATTAAACAGAAACAGTGTTGTATGAAAATAAAGTACAACAAAAATAATGGTATGCAAGGGAAGAAAAAGTAGAGAAAGAGCGAATGTAAAGCGAAGAATTGGAAGAAGTGACTGATTTTCGGTATCTAAGAAGTCAGATAAGCCAGGAAAGAAAGAGTAGTAGGGATATAAAGCAGAGGATAGCGCAGGGTCGAGTCGCCTTCAATAAAAGGAAGTCACTCCTATGCTCACAAACGATTAATTTAGAAATTCGAAAAATATTGTTAAAGGTGTATGTTTGGAGAGGGGTATTGTATGGGTGCGAAACATGGACAGTGGTCGCGGCGGAAAAGAGAAGGTTAAAAGCGTTTGAAATGTGGTGTTACATGCGATTGATGAGGGTACCGTGGATAGAGAAGGTTAGAAATGAAGAGGTAGTAGAAAAAATAGGAGAACACAGGATTCTATGGAAGTCAATGTGAAATAGGCGGAATAGGTTGGTAGGACACTTTCTCAGGCATAATGGGATAGTCAGAGGCATATTAGAGGCAAAAACAGGATTTAAAAGGAGTAGAGGTAGACCTAGATTACATTACTGTTCGCAAATAGTGAAGGATGTTCTACTTTTAGGGAAAGATTAGCTCAGGATAGGAAAGAGTGGAGGTACGTGTCCAGTCAGTCTTAGTGCAGATGACCCTATGATGATTATGTCAAATAGTTAAGGATGTGGAATATTCTAGTTTTAAGGAAATGCAGAGATTACTTCAGGATAGGAAGGAGTGGAGGTGCGTGTCCAATCAGTCTTAGGGCAGATGACCCTATGATGATTATGTCAAATAGTTAAGGATATGGAATGTTCTAGTTTTAGGGAAATACGAAGATTAGAGGTTGGAAAGGAGTAGAGGATTATGTCCAATCACTCTTAAGCCTGATGAACTAATGATGTTGATTTCTTAAATAGGAGAAATCCTTATTAAAGTAAATTGGAAAAGCTTCGTAACTGGGGGTCTGTCCATTTCCCCCAAATCCCCCTTTTTCCTATTCTACAATTTAATTTAACGAAAGGTCGCCCTAACGATCTTTACCATCTCCGTATCCTCCTTTCGATTAAGAAAATAAGCAACGACAACATCGGCGTTATTCCTGTCCCGGCGGCTAATAGCAAGTAAACTTCCTTGCTCTCCAGATCCTTCAGACAAAAAGAGCCAATTCCTTTCGATACGTCCAATACGTCTCCGACTGTCTTGTTGTGCACGTATTTGCTAATGTTGCCGTCTTCGTAACGTTTTATTGCTAAACAAATGTTGTCAGTGGCGTACAGTTGAGGTCGATAATCGGCAAACAAACTCCGAGGAATTGGCGTGTAACATCGGCAAACCTCTTCACCTGCAATAAAAAATTAAACGTGCTCTAGAGCGACGACTAGCAATTACGTCGAATGAAATAAGTCGGAAAATGAAAATGCAGAGTGAGTAAATCTACTTTCAACACTAATTAATTTAAAAATTCTACACAACATCGCATGAGAAAAATGACTCTAAGGATAAAGTAAATTTGTCCTTTGAAATTATTGTAGAAATGAACAGAGAAAGTCTCCCCCTGACGGTATAACGAACAAACTTTTTAATAAATGGTAAAAAACGCCGACAGTGCATGAAATTGAATGTCTCTCTCCCTCTCCCTTCTGTAAATATCTCTCAAATCAAGTAGGTAATCAGATACAAGCTAGAGCAAGATTGGATGGAAAAATGTAAACTTAATCTAAATAATTCTGAGTGAACTCATGCAGCCCCATGGACTTTTGCCAAACATGAATACCTAATGATTTTTATCTAACTTTCAGCCAATTTCAACTTTTAGGCAATCCTGATTCCTTTGGACTCCCTTCCTATCTAATAATTATCAAAAAATAACATCCCAAAAATAGTCCTCTAAACTATATCGGGTTGTTCGGAAAGTCATTTCGTTTTTTCCCGACAGAGGATTTAATTGTATTCTTTTGCACCCAACTTCTCATTTAAGCCGTATAATTTTTATATGCTTTGAGAGCTCATATAGCAAGGCTTGTGTGTGAAAAGTTCCAATTAATTCTACGCAGTAGTTTTTGGTTGGTGCCCTTTTAAACATGGAGAGCGATAAGCAGCATTTTCGACATATCTTACTGTTTTACTACAGAAAGGGTAAAAATGCTGTTCAAGCCAGAAAGAAATTGACTGANTCCTTGATTCACTTGCAATACTTATCGAATCATTTTCATCGGAACCAGGGCTTTTGATTGTGTCCACTACTGATTTTGGCTTATTCCCATTCGTGTCTTGCTGTTTGGGAGTTTTTGGAGATCCAAAAAACAACTCTTCAGCATTCATTTTGGGATCTAGTACTACCAAACGACCTATGTAACATTTCTGAAGTAGTGACTCGTAGTTAACCCAGGCATGAACCTGAAGGAGAGAATAAACAACTTTAGCAAATCCTAGAACACGTAGAGGGACATTAATGTTGTAAAACCTGTTCAAACAGTTTCGTTGCATCTGTTCCAGCCCCTTTCATTATTTCCTCTGGACCTCCTGGATGATAAGGAATGTAATGGGTGATGTTAAAAACTTTTCCCCGAATCGCCAACCAGGCGTCGGTCTCTTTATTGTGCCGGGCCAACTCCTTATGCGTTACCTAGATTTAAAAATGGACAAATGAAAAACACCAGAATTTTGAATTAACCAAAATCGAGACCTAACATAAGCAAAATTGTATCTATGTAATCCATGATAATTCATTCTGTTGAACGATAAAATTTAAAGTAAAACGAAAAGCGTGTAAAAGGCACAGGCCCTAATACTTCACGTGGCGTTTTTAAAAGGAAAAAAGATCAAAGAATGTGTGCTGACATCAAAAAGGCTTCACGTACTCTTGAGGTAATCTCTCCTTTTGAAACCTTTACCAATTAGGGAATGCTTTGTGGTAAATAACAGAAAACATAAATAATTTCTTTTTTATCTAAGTTTGTAACAGATTTAACAAGATACGTATTTGTTGACGTTGACATATCATCATAAAATCGTCAGTCCTAAGACTGGTTGGAAACGCACTTCCACTCTTTCCTATCCTGAGCTAATCTTCACATTTCCCTAAAACTAGAACATCCCACATTCTATTTGCGAACAGTAATCTAATCTAGGTCTACATTTACTCCTCTGAACTCCTGTTTTTGCCTCTAATATGCCTCTGAATAGGCCTTCATGCCTGAAAAGGTGTCCTACCAACCTAACTCGCCTATTTCTTGACTTGACTTCCATAGAGTCCTCTGTTCTCCTACTCTTTATAATCGTTGATGCATAGAAAATATTTATTGACGTTGATGCAATCAAAAAGCAACCCTGAAAAAGTTCGTATTGGGATGCGAAACGTTCGTGTAAGCTTTTCACAACTTTATTAAGGGGAATGATATTTGCGAACTTATTCCCTCAACAAGCTTTTTTTAACGTATCAAGATATGAAATCGCTCATTTTAAAAACTTAAGTGTTGTAATCTCTCAAAACGCTATAAAAGTAATTATTTTTAAGATGTTTAAACATTAATTGTACCTCAATCTTCCATACATATATCAAGCAGCTTTTAACCAAATTACTTTAGGTGAATATTAATTAACAGTAATTTGAGATCGTCTAATAATTTCTAATTAATTGTAAGTAGCCCAAATAACTAATTGTAAATTTTAGATATTCCTGTGTCATAGGTAGGTTTAGTTACTATTACTTTGGGGAACGAGTTCATGACTAATCCCAAAGCGACACCTGCTGTCCGAACGAGTCAAATTGATTCATTAAAATCCCGCAGGCTCTATATTCTCAATCATGAGCTAATTATTCTACCCAATACCTTGACAGGTACCCATACAGCAACCATCTTCTGTTTAAGACCTGTTTTGTTTTATATATTAATGTAAATAAATGTTATTATAACCGGGAACTGAAAGCGCCCGTTGTTACGTTCCAGAACTTTTAGAAAACAATTTCGCCATGACGATGGCGCATATGCAGATTTATTCAACTTTAAATCATCCGGATGAACAGTCGACGAACAAAGAACGTTAATTCAGAATTCTCGACCCGTGTTGCAGATACTGAAAGCTGCAGACCAATTACTGTCAATGGATTGCTTGATTTTATTTTAAATGCATATTCATAGAAGTGCACTTAATTAACACGAAAAATTGACTATCATTGAAAACTCACAAACATCAAAGAAATTTTAAATTTTATACCTATAGGGATTAATTGCAAATTTAAAAATCTACCAAACTTTTACACCCATTACGTAAGCATATCAGTGCTTCAACTTCTGATTAAATTATTAATAACTCCATAAATTTTTACGTGTTTTCCTAATGGTACTATTACTTTCCCATTATCCACTCTCTCGAGCTCGAACAGGGCCGTATTATAATTAATATCTTTTTTACATTTCAACGAATAATGCGTCCTGACGTTATCAGCTCGTTCGATGTCGTCTCTTTTCTGTTTCAACGATCCATACGATTCCCAAATTTTGCTTTCAGTCTTTTTAAATATTATCTCGATCTTTCCAGTTTCAAAATGGACTTTAGTATGGCAAGGCCAATGGATGGATTTCGAAAAGGTTATTTCGTTTGTGAAAACTTGGCACTCATACGTTAAATAAACGAATACGACATTGTCTTGGCTCTGAGGAATTATTTCTACTTGAGGATTACACAGGGCTTTGGTATAGAAGACGATCGTGATATAATCCGTTTTCTGGATCCAATCAAACCTCGGTTGAAACATCCGATCTTTCAGATATTTTATATCGTCGGAAGAATCAGCTTTCCTGGCAAACTTCGTCCTTGATTCACTTGCAATACTTATCGAATCATTTTCATCGGAACCAGGGCTTTTGATTGTGTCCACTACTGATTTTGGCTTATTCCCATTCGTGTCTTGCTGTTTGGGAGTTTTTGGAGATCCAAAAAACAACTCTTCAGCATTCATTTTGGGATCTAGTACTACCAAACGACCTATGTAACATTTCTGAAGTAGTGACTCGTAGTTAACCCAGGCATGAACCTGAAGGAGAGAATAAACAACTTTAGCAAATCCTAGAACACGTAGAGGGACATTAATGTTGTAAAACCTGTTCAAACAGTTTCGTTGCATCTGTTCCAGCCCCTTTCATTATTTCCTCTGGACCTCCTGGATGATAAGGAATGTAATGGGTGATGTTAAAAACTTTTCCCCGAATCGCCAACCAGGCGTCGGTCTCTTTATTGTGCCGGGCCAACTCCTTATGCGTTACCTAGATTTAAAAATGGACAAATGAAAAACACCAGAATTTTGAATTAACCAAAATCGAGACCTAACATAAGCAAAATTGTATCTATGTAATCCATGATAATTCATTCTGTTGAACGATAAAATTTAAAGTAAAACGAAAAGCGTGTAAAAGGCACAGGCCCTAATACTTCACGTGGCGTTTTTAAAAGGAAAAAAGATCAAAGAATGTGTGCTGACATCAAAAAGGCTTCACGTACTCTTGAGGTAATCTCTCCTTTTGAAACCTTTACCAATTAGGGAATGCTTTGTGGTAAATAACAGAAAACAAAAATAATTTCTTTTTTATCTAAGTTTGTAACAGATTTAACAAGATACGTATTTGTTGACGTTGACATATCATCATAAAATCGTCAGTCCTAAGACTGGTTGGAAACGCACTTCCACTCTTTCCTATCCTGAGCTAATCTTCACATTTCCCTAAAACTAGAACATCCCACATTCTATTTGCGAACAGTAATCTAATCTAGGTCTACATTTACTCCTCTGAACTCCTGTTTTTGCCTCTAATATGCCTCTGAATAGGCCTTCATGCCTGAAAAGGTGTCCTACCAACCTAACTCGCCTATTTCTTGACTTGACTTCCATAGAGTCCTCTGTTCTCCTACTCTTTATAATCGTTGATGCATAGAAAATATTTATTGACGTTGATGCAATCAAAAAGCAACCCTGAAAAAGTTCGTATTGGGATGCGAAACGTTCGTGTAAGCTTTTCACAACTTTATTAAGGGGAATGATATTTGCGAACTTATTCCCTCAACAAGCTTTTTTTAACGTATCAAGATATGAAATCGCTCATTTTAAAAACTTAAGTGTTGTAATCTCTCAAAACGCTATAAAAGTAATTATTTTTAAGATGTTTAAACATTAATTGTACCTCAATCTTCCATACATATATCAAGCAGCTTTTAACCAAATTACTTTAGGTGAATATTAATTAACACCAGAAAGATGGCAAAAGGTGTTGGACCAGAACGGTCAATATATAATTTAATAAAGTATTTGTTTATTATACGAAAGCTGTCGTTCATTTCCACAAAAAAAAAACGAAATGACTTTCCGAACAACCCTATATTATAGAGTTAAGTAAACTTGAAACAACGGGTATTCATATTTTCGTTTCTTCACTCCTTTCTACGACTAACAGAACATTCTCTATATATTTATTAAATAAGAAACGTAATATATGGTTCAAAAGAATTGTCCCACACGCAATTCGCAGTTATGTATTATGGACACAAAGAAAAGTGACAAAGAAAGCGTTTCAAAAGAGTCCCTGTCTGATGTTTCTTTTGTCTATTTTCTTATTTCATTCTTTTGACGCGTGAATTCAATAAACGTAAAGACAAACGTTTTTCGTCAACGTAAGGTACTTTCGAAAACGACAATATTTCTCCAACTAGGTAGCAAATAAGCTACACCAATAATAATCGATACTGAGCAGCTTGTAGTTTAAATGAGCAGTATCAGCGATTTCTCTGGAGAAATAAGCTAAATCTGTATTTACATATCATAGAGACATATGTAGGTACACACAGGGGGTATGAGATGAAAACGGATTTAAATTTTAACCTTCCAATGAATGGATGAATAAATTTCTAGAATATACATTACAGTTTCCATATCATCCCCATGTTCAACAATGAATGAAGACTCTGAGCTAATCAGGGTGAAAACGTAAAATATTACTCCAAAATGAAACCGATGGTTCGCCCTTAATTGTGGGGAAGTACAGGAAGTACAAATTTTTTACAACTGTAGTACTTTTTGGCATATTATGCCACTGTTTTTAACACCTTCAAGGTTGGTCGTGGTTGCTGTTGTCACCTCTCGTAGTTTAGTGGTAGAACGTTGGTGCGTAAAGCCAAAGGTCCCGGGTTCGATTCCCGGCGGGGGTGTGACAACAGCAACAATTTTTCCCTCATTAATTTGAGGTAGTTTGTAGTGGGTAAATAAAAAATCGAAAAAATGATTTCAAATTAAAAATGTCAACTTA